GTGTGTGTGTGTGTGTGTGTGTGTGTGTGTGTGCGCGCGCGCGCGCGCGCGCGCGCGCGGTGCATGAGCTCAGAGCTGGCTGTGCTGGCCACGTCCACTCCACTGCGGGGGCTGCACACCAGCACTGGATGAAGCCACCTGCACCACTTCCACAAACAGGGTTTTGCATTTTCTTACCCCTGATTCATGGACCTTGACTGGACACAAAAGCACAGCTACCCCATGACACAAGAGAAGATCACACCAAGAACAGCTCTCTGCCTGGCCACGTAGTCACTCAGGCCACACGGTCACTCATGCCATGCTGTCACCCAGCCCCAGCTACCCTGACCAGAGACCAAGGAAAGGCAAGCAACAGCTGCATGGCAGTGGCCCCCCGGGCATGGCTGTCACAGGTGGAAGAAGCAGGTGGAGTCTGAAGACTTCCAAGCTGTGCATCCTAGCCAGCGCAGCAGGCGTCACCTGTGCTACCGGGATGAGGGAGGACCATGCTGGGTCTCCACATGCGCCTCTACTGAAGAATGAACAGACTCTCCGGAGCCTGCAGCTTGGTCTTCCCATTTCTCTTCACGCGTGGTCTCCAGGACACCACGGCCTCTCCTCTGAGTGGTCGAGGCCAGGGCACAGAACAGCAAAGAGGAATTCTGGGCAGCTTTCTGCCCCAGCACTGTCCAACCACATGCCTGCTGAGCTTTTCCTTTGTTTTGCACTTCTGTGGATAGCACACTCCAGGGAACTTAAAGCCACACACGTACACTGGACTCTACCCACCTAGAACACACCAAAACTTACTGTTTAGACCAAGTTTTACTGAGATGATAATGGTGACAGTGCAGATGATAACACAGAACTAGAAGCATGAGCTCGAGCCTTTGGGCTTGCTCCACCGGCACTCTACTGCTTGGGCCACCTCTCCAACCTTCTTTACTGTTTTTTCTGTCAGTCGTGGAGCTTGAACTCTGGGCCTGGGCACTGTCCCTCAGCTCTTCAGCTCAAGGCTAGTGCTCTACCACTTGAGCCACAGTGCCACTTCTGGTTTTCTGGTGGTTCACTGGAGATAAGGGTCTCATAGATGGTCCTGCGTGGGCTGGCTTTGAACCGCGATCCTCAGATTTCAGCCTCCTGAGTAGCGAGGATTACAGGCACGAGCTACTGGCGCCTGGCTTGCTCTGGTTGTTTTTGAGACAGGGCCTCACTTTTTACCCCAGCCAGCCTAGACAATAATCCTCCTACCTACACTTCCTGCGGTGCTCAGCTGGGTTGAGATGATGTATCTCATAAACTTTTTGCCCAGGCTAGCCTGGAATTTCAATTTTCCTAATGCCTGCCTTCCGAGTAGCTGAGATTATATGAGCCACTGTTGCCCGATGTCAGATTATTTTAAATTCTATATCTACCAGCTTGCCCAGCTGTGGGCACAGTAGGACTGTGTCCCTGTTCAGCACCCTGGTAGCTGCCTCCTCACCCGCCAAATGGTCCCTGTAAGTCCCAACTCTTTAATCCTACCTTGGTCGTGGACTTTCCAATAACCAGTGTTCCAATAACCACCCTGAAGCCACACACAAGCTGCTGCCCTAGTGGATTCACCAGTAAACGAAAGACATCAGAAATCCTCTCACCACTTTGAAGACTCCAAAGGCTACAGTTGTTGAAGAAATGGAAATGGGACAGGAGATATTCCAGTGTCATCCCCGGGCCTCCCCTGGGCACTGGAACACCAGGAGCTGACCACTACAGAGGAGTGTCCTCGTGGCCCCTCCCTCCCTTTCCCATCACTGCTTCCCCATCATCCCAAAGCTTTCCACCAGCCCCTGGAGACACAGCTGCTGTTGACACGGGCTCCTTCCCCTGCACACTCCTCCTCAAGAGGAGTGCTGTTCGGGTGGCTGTATGGTGCTAAGGGGCAGTGGTAAAGTAGTCTGGTTATCAGTAATCCAGCCCTCCTAGGCTTCTGGGGCTAGCAGGACTGTCCCAGACACAGAGCTGTGTCCTGCGCCAAGAGGCTTCCCATTGGTAAAGCTGTCCACAGAGAGCAAGCCCAGACCTGACATTTTGCACACAAGCACCGTGATGCGCTTTACATACAAGCACAGTGACATTCTGTGTGTGATCTGTTTTACACACGAACACAGTGATATTTTGTATATGACCTGACATTTTACACACAAGCACAGTGACATTCTGTAGATGACCTGACTACATTTTACACACAAGCACAGTGACATTCTATGTATGAGCCTGACTGTTCTATACACAAGTACAGTGGTATGTTTTACACATAAGCACAGTGATGTGCTTTACATGCAAGCACGGTGACATTCTGTGTATGATCTGACTGTTTGACACACAAATACACACAAGCATGGTGACATTCTGTACATGATTTAACTATTTAACACACAAATATGGTGATGAGTGTTCCACACAAGCATGGGCTGCTTGACGTGCGAGCACAGTGATGCTCCATGTGCACCTGGTTCACAGGACGTAAGGACCGTGTGTGGGGAAGAGTGCACCCGCCTCTTCTGTGGGTTCACACCTGGTTCACGTAAGGACCATGTGTGGGGAAGAGTGCATCCGCCTCTTCTGTGGGTTCACACCTGGTTCACGTAAGGACCGTGTGTGGGGAAGAGTGCACCCGCCTCTTCTGTGGGTGAGCCTTGCCTCAAGCCAGCTCTCAGCTCTAAGCTTGTGCTAATGCACGTCTAGCTGCACTGCCAGCCACTCAGCACACGATGCAGCTGAGTTGCAGGTTTGTATGTTTCCATGTGACTGAAAGGTTTTTTTTGGTTTTGTACTGGTCCTGGGGCTTGAACTCATGAGTTCTGTCCCTAAGCATTTTTTTTCTCAAAGCTAGTGCTCTACTACTTGAGCCACTGCTCAACTTCTGGCTTGGGGGGGCGGGGCAGGTAATTGGAGATAAGTCTCACAGACTTTCCCGGCTAGGCTGGCTTCAAGTCAGATCTCAGCCTTCTGAATAGCTAGGATTACAGGCATGAGCCACCGGCACCTGGCTGGTATTTTTACACATTTTTAAGATTCTCCTTTCACTACATCTGAGCACACTTCAAATTATATGGCTATAATTACATAAGGCAGTATCTTTTATGAACTTCATTTTAAAATGAAAAGTTAAGTTTCTGCTTTGAAAGAATATCTGGTACACAGAGAGGATGAGAAACAGCTGGCGAATGCCTCGTGTAAGCCAGAGGCAAACCTCCCTGCAGCCTAGTCATTCACACACGGGTGAGCACCGTTAGGACTGTGCGGTTCACCCATGGTGTTCCACCTCAGGAGAGCATCTCAGGTGTCAAGATGCAAGCCATGTCAGCTTCTCAAGGAAGAAGCCCAGGCAGCATGGTGAGCTGGCGCAGAGCCAACACGGCCAAGCCAACTTCCAGGCCCCGGTGAGGAATCAGCACGTCAGTCGATCTCTTCTCTCATACTGGCATGTTCAGCCAAGCCTCCTATGCTCGCTGTATGTTCACAGCCAGCAGAAGGAAAAGAATAAAGCCTCAAACTCTTTGTTGTTGCCGAAATTAGTTCTCATTGTACAGGGGAAAAGCAATAGTTTCTATAGTGCAGCTAACACTTACCCCACATCACCAGCAGGAGGAGACATGCTCCACCGCACCCTAGCACTACCGCCTCAGCCCTTCATCTCTACTTTCTCAGCATATGCTTCTATGTCTTTAAGAACAATTTATTTGTGCAAAGGATTATGAATAATTCATTTCTCTAGTGCATGTTTACTTTATATAAAAATACTTGCTACTTCACATACTAGGCATAATTAATGCAATGCTTTACTTCTGTGGCATGTTAAAAATAGGCAGTCATAAATTACAGTCAACACTGCAACGTGGAACCGTATGTCTTCTTGGGCCTACTGTGGCTCTGGGATGCTGTGCCTTTCAATAAACTTTGGTTACCGAGAAACTGACTTCATATCACTGATGGGCAGAAAGATGAGTCACAGCCAAATATAAAACTCCACCTGGTATAGTGACAGTAGAAATGACCTTCCCCTTGACCTTCCAACACTCAGATAAGTATAAGTGGGACCAGTTACTTCTGTGACGTTTAAAGGCAAAGAAATAATAAGTAGGGCCTTTTCTGACATGAACTTAAATCCCAGGAGCCAGAGATAGGCACAATGGTGCTTCCTAAACACAGTGACCTCCAGGGCCTACTGGCCACTCCCCTGCACCCACATTTACATCCCTGGGGGGCCTCATTTGTCCTCACAGCTCTGCTCCTCGGGCTATGGCGCAGGCTGGCCCTACCCTTGATGTCTGGAAGCTCTAGAGCTGCAGACGGCCTGCGAAGGCAGTCTGTGTTGGTGAGAGTGGGGGAGAGGGGTAAGAGGTCTAGCAGTGCATCAGGGCCTTGCTGGAGCCCAGGGTACGCAGTGTCCCCATGGCCACACTCTGTGTCCTCTCTCTTCCTCCAAACCCAAGAAGAAACTTCCACGGGAATGTCGACTTTGGCAGTCTAGAATTAGGCCATGGTGCTGACTCATGCCCTAGTTGCCAAAACTTAGCACTAAAGAAATTCCCCGGCAATCACCTCAACAGAACAGAATAGCCGGTAAAATCACCTCGTGCCTAGCATGAAGTGCTGACCTCACTTGCAGTGACTGAGGCCAGAGCTGCCGGCACCCATGAGGTGCCTAGAGGGGTTCCCAGGGGATCTGAGTCCACAGCAAGACATGAGTGAACAAGAGTAACCAGTTACTGCGGGTCACCAGTGATCTGGACATCATTCAGCGAAATACATGTCAAAGGCAAGGCAAACCACAAGACGTAATTAAGCAGCTTACGTCAAGCAAGTCTTTTTTTTTTTTTTTTTTTTAAGATAGGGTTTTGCTATGTAGCTAGGTTCAATCAAACTAGAGATCCACCCCCTGCCATGACTGTGCTGGGATTACTGGTATGTGCCATCACACCTAGAATTTGTATCAATCACATTTTATCCAATTCTTATAAGCTTGTACTTACCCTGAAATTTCTTGAGTTTATATTTTTGCTCTGATCCTGAGGCAAAGCTCCTTCTGTGTCAGTATCACTGAGATCACAGCTCAGTAGAACTAAAATAAGTACGATCCACCTGGATGGTACTTCTTCCAACCACACCTGAAGCTCTCCAAGCCCAGCTCAGCAAACTCCATTCTGTGTAAGAAAAAGATTTGGTTACTTGACATTTCACCTCTCAGAACTGAGCTCGTCTTGAGACAAGGTTTCACTATACAGCTCAGGCTGGCCCTAAACCCTTGATCCTCCTGCCTCCTGGGTGCTGTCATGCACCAGTCAGCAAGCCAAACTCAACGTTGACATAATCTAATACAAGTGGACATAATTTAAACATGCTCATACAAACTGTAAAGGGGTTTGCCAGTCAGCCCTTGTGCCACCGGCTGGCCACAGGCAGGCGTCACGCTGGCTCCCCCCAACCCAGCCGGCAGGCATAGACAGACACCACACCTCCATAAAGGAAGGAGGCCCTCAGCAAAATATTGTACATATTTATTCTCTTCAAAATAAAAGCACCTCTGCAGGTGTATGTGGCAGTAGAGAGCAGAAACACACACCGCAGGCCTTTGCTCAGCCGGTGCCCACCCTGCCATGGGGGGCCAAAGCGCTGGCTCGTCTCCCCCAATCGGCAGTCTTTGATACCAATAGCCTTTGGACTGCAGACTCCTACTAGTCGAGTGGGGGGCGGTGTGCAGGGAGGGTGGACCCTGGAGGAAGAAGCCAAGACAAGGCCCAGGCAGATGGGAACATGGCTCAGCTACTGCCTCTGCAGACTGGTCAAGTCCACATGTCTCCTCCTCCCTCCTCCTCATTGCTGCAGTCCTCCAAGAAGCCCTCTCTGGGAGCCGCATCAGCTGGCCTGCTAGCTGGTCAGTGATGTGCTGAGAGCGAGCTTCCTGCCACGTTCCCACCACTCAGGCACAATGCCATTGTGCCCGCTGCGGGAGATGAGATGGGGCCAGGAGAGGGGCCGGGGGCTCGGCCTTCCTCAGAGACGAGCGGAGAAGGAGAACAGCACTGAGGAGAAGGAGAATCACAGTGGAGAAGGAGACAGCACTGAGGAGAAGACGGCGACATTTCGAGACGCAAGGGAGAGAGCCCAGCAGAGCTGTAAGCCTGCTGCCATGCAGCTGTCCCCAGTTCCATGTGGGATGGGCAGAGCAGGACAAACCAGTGGGTGGGGAGGACAGTGGCCCGATCCCTGATGCTCCCTGGGGCTTTGCTTGGTAGCTGCTTGTGTCTCGGGAGCCCTCCTCACCGCCGCGTGATAAGGGCTCCCGGGAGAGCACTTGAGGGAGCCTGTGCACCACGCCGGGGAGTGCCACCGAGGTGAGGGTCACTCAGGAGCAGGAACACTTTCTTCACACATAGTACAAACAGCACAAAAATTTCACTGAGACCGGGCGCTGGTGGCTCACACCTGTAATCCTAGCTACTCAGGAGGCTGAGATCTGAGGATCTCGGTTCAAAGCCAGCCAGGGCAGGAAAGTCCATGAGACTCTTATCTCCAATAAACCACCAGAAAACCGGAAGTGGTGCTGTGGTTCAAGTGTAGAGTGCTCGCCTTGAGCTGAAGAGCTGAGGGACAGCACTCAGGCTGAGTTCAAGCCCCACGACCGACAAAAAAAAAATCACTCAGGGCACTTTATGGATTTGCTGTGCCAGGAACGATCTTATTGATTAAATGAAGCAACTGCATTTCCTCTTAAAGTGATATTTACATTGCAATTTAATTAGACTGGAAATTAGGGCTTTACTCTGCCAAACACTAAGTACTGTCATTTTCAAGGCACAGAAGGAACACTATTCCCCAAGCATGGAGGTAAATAGTAAGCAAGGCCCCTGTGCACCCACAGCAGCTCTCACCCCAGGGCACCGACAGGCAGGACACTCCCAAGCCAATGCCCACGGAGGGCAATGCCCACGGGGAAGGAGAAAGCTGCCAACACAGAAGGACGCATGGTAAAGAAGCTGCCTCCCTAACTTTTGGGAGTGGCTGGCACTCCTAAGCTGCACAGTCCTGAGAACTGGCAGTGTCAGCGCACTGAAAGTCCTCGGCACCAAGAGGTAGAAAGGCAGCCCAGGGTCAAGGAAGGGACACAGGCGCATCTTGGCTGAGAAAGAAATACCAAAGGGGACTGTCTCGGTACAACAGGCAGGAGGGCAGACAGAAGACCACAAAGGTATGAAGACGATCCACACCCTAGAGTCTTCAGAAAATATCCAGTAGCTTTGGGGTGGGAGGTGGGAGGTGGGGAACCCGTGCTGAGTGCGGCGGCAGGGAACACTGGAAGAGGACTCTGGCAGACCTACAGTCCAGCAGCAGCAGCAGCAAAGTGAACCCAGCCTGGCAGCACTACTTCCAGGGATCAGGTAGGATTTCCAATAAGCAAGAGGAGGAACTCAAAGGAAAGCCAGAGTTGTAAACCACTCAGTTGCTCTGAGCTAGGAAGTGGAAGTGCGTCCGAGATGCGTGCTGTCGGCAAGGACTGGGCTCCTCTGCCCTGTGCTGGCTTCCAAATGCCACCTGGACAACGGACGTGGCCGTGGGAACTGTGACGCACGCTTAAGAGCAGGGTCCTCGCACGGAGAGACTAGGAATCTCATGGGGAGCAGCTGGCCGCTGAGCCCCGCCCACACAGAGCTGAAGGGGCCCAGGAGGGCAGGAAGGCAGAGGCTCCTTTCAATCACCCTTCCTATGAAGGGCAAGGAACAGACTCTTTACCTTGAGATGCCAGAGACCCACAACTTTGGAATGGCTCCTGAACAGGCTTAGTTCTAGTTGGAGTACGTGGGTCCATTTCAGGCCAGGAAACCCGACACACCTCAGTTCTGCAGACCCAATGAAGCTGGTGTCATGTGACAATCAGTTCTGCAGACCCAATGAAGCCAGCATCATGTGACAATCAGTTCTGCAGACCCAATGAAGCCAGCGTCACGTGACCATCAGTTCTGCAGACCCAATGAAGCCAGCGTCATGTGACAGTTCTGCAGACCCAATGAAGCCAGCATCACGTGACCATCAGTTCTGCAGACCCAATGAAGCCAGCGTCACGTGACCATCAGTTCTGCAGACCCAATGAAGCCGGCGTCACGTGACCATCAGTTCTGCAGACCCAATGAAGCCAGCGTCCTGTGACCATCAGTTCTGCAGACCCAATGAAGCCGGCGTCCTGTGACAGCGTGTGGCCAGTCAGGGTCTCAGCTGTCCTGTTCTTGGTTCTCTGCACTTTGGTCTACACTTTGTCACCTGTTCTACTATTGAAATACATTTTACGTTCTTAGCAAATGATACTTTCCCTCACAAGAGAGACGGTTTGGGATGAACTATGGGTAAACACAGAGTGGATGAGCCTCATGAGATGGGGTCCTGCCAGGTGGCTCCACCGGCCGACCTGAGCCTTGGAAAGGCAGAGGGGCCGGGTGGCCTGCCTGTCAGGGTGAGGGCACAGGTGGCGTGGGAGGTGGCGGTGTCACCATCTCCACTGTGGCAAGTCCCAACAGCGATCACATGGTCCACTTTCAAATATGCTCAGGCTTTTGTCAATTATGCCACTATAAAACTTTTCTAAGGACTGTTTTATATTTTTTAACTTATTTATTTTTCAGTGCTGAAGATGGACCCCTGGGCCTTGTGCATTCTAGGCAAGCTTCTACCACTGAACAACAGTGTCGATTCTCCTTGTATTTTTTTTTTAGGGGTGGGGTCCGGTGATGGGTCCTGAACTCTGGACCTGGGCACTGTCCCTCAGCTCTTCAGCTCAAGGTTAGCGCTCTACCACTTGAGCCACAGCGCCACTTCCAGCTTTTTTCTTTTTTGCTTATGTAGTACTGAGGAATTGAACCCAGGGCCTCATGTATGCAAGGCAAGCGCTCTACCACTGAGCCACCTTCCCAGCCCTCCTTGTATTTTTTAAGTGAAATAGTAAATTATTGGAATTTTTGGGGGGGGGGTTGGTCATGGGGCTTGAACTCTGGGCCTGAGTGCTGTCCCTCAGCTCTCCGGTTTTCTGGTGGTTTAGTGGAGATAAGAGTTTCACGGACTTTCTTGCCTGGGCTGGCTTTGAATTGTGATCCTCAAATCTCAGCCTCCTGAGTAGCTAGGATTACAGGCGTGAGCCACCGGCACCCGGCTTGGAAGTATTTTTATGACCTGAGAGAAATCCCTTTTACAAGCCCTCAGCACTCTAATGTTTGGTGAGAAATTAAAGCTTGTTGGCAACATTAGAGCAACTCTTTAAGTAGGTGCATTTCTTTCACTACATGATGACTTTGTATCGTCTGTCCAATGCTCCCAACACCAGTAATGAGCTCTGCATTTCCACAGACAGACACAGACAGCGAACTCCAGAGATGGGAGACAGAAGGAAAGAAACGGATACCGATGAGTCAAGCAGCCCAAGAGGCAGGGCAAGAGCGTGTGAGCGCAAGTGCTGGTCCCATGCTGAGGGTCCAGCGGGCACCTGCATGGGCTCCTGGGGTGGGTGGAACATGACAGCTAAGGATGCAGAGGGTGGAAATGAGGATGTGGCCTCTCGGGAGGGTCTATGGCCTCTTCCTCAGGGTCTGCCTACTGGCCAGAGCTCTCCCCGCACATGGGACGGGCGGGGGCGGGGCTCAGACTCCAGCAGGGCTGCTGCAGTCCGGCCCTGAGCTCACTCCCCAGCAGGTCTGGTTTGTTTGCTGGGCAGCGAGTAGCAGAGTGCCCTAGGAGGGGGAGAAGGTGTGTCCTTCTCTTCTGCCTGCCTGCCTGGTGAGCAGCAGTTCTAACCTCATCGGCGCATGCCCGGGACTGGCACTCAGCGTCACCCACCTCTTCTGTCCTTGGGCCCTCTCACTAGGACTCAGCTACACCCTCGCCTTCCAAGGCCTCCCGCTCAACACGCAGACTGTGGGTGCTCCAGCCCCATTAACCGCTCTCCTCTCCTCTCACTCCAAGGAGATGTAGACACACAGACGTGGCAAGGTGCGGACTGAGGCAGGAGCACCCTCGTGCTCTGCTCTTACAGGTACACTCAGGGTCAGCAGAGGCTGCAAACCACTGTCCTGGACAGGTGGCGACAGACACAGACTGCCCGAGGTCTCCCCTGAGCCTCTTACCACCCTCCCTCACAGACTCGGGT